TCTGCTCCACAGTCCAAGCACTAGACTCCTATAGCCAAGAGAGAAGGAAGCCTGGCTACTGCTCCAGCAGTGGCCGACTTTGGCATCATCTACATGGTGCTGATTTTAGATGCAGGTAAAATGCCAGAGTTGTGGGGTCAAAAAGGCTTCCGCACAGATTTCAGAAGAAGGCCTGGGAGGCCCGGCAGTGTGCCCCTGGGAGGGCAGTGTGGGAAGTTGTGAGTGTGAGGCTGAAGGTGCAGTGGAGACCCCAGAAGGTTAGAGAAGCCAGATGCACAGATTGTCTGAGGAAAACTCCAAGGAGAGAGCAGGGCCAGTCCAAGAAAGAAGCCATGGGAGCTATAGCTACCATAGTGCCATAGGGATGGAGCCAGCCAAGCCCTTTGGAGTTCACATCTTGCCACAGATTGCCCTGGATGCTGGACATGGAACTATAGGACTTGATGTTTGCCCTGCTGGATTTTTGGTTTTGCCTTGCTTTCATTCCTTTCTATACCCTCTTTGTACCTTTTGGAATGGAAATGTCTATCTTGTGCCATTGAATGTTGGAAGTGTCGGGCCAGAGCCCAGAGGCGGGTGTGAGCGTCAGTCGGGAGTTGCTTCCAGGATCCTGAGATCCGGAGAAGCCGGGGTCCGAGTGGCTCCTGAAGAGTTACTGCTAAATGAAATGTCAGAGAATGGAAAAACTTGTGGCTAGAGACGTGTAGCAGCGAACAAAGAACAACACAATGGAAATTTCACAGACCCCTCTTCGGTGAATGAAAAGAAGAGGAGGGATTGGGAAGAAAGACAGAATATTGTCCTGTGGAGACAACCACTCATTACCTTGCAGTATTTTTCTCTGGAAATCCTTGTAATCTTAAAGGAATGGACCTCAAATGATGACATGGTCAAAGCACTGTGGTGTCTTTTTTACTGCTGCTTGCTGTGCTTGTAGCTACATACTATGTTGAAGGAGCACATCAACAGAATGTGTAGTGTATAGAGAAACAGTTTCTTCTGTATGCCTACTGGATAGGCTTGGGAATTTTGTCTTCTGTGGGGCTTGGAACAGGGCTGCACACTTTTCTGCTTTACCTGGGCCCACACATAGCTTCAGCTACATTAGCTGCTTATGAATGCAATTCAGTTAATTTCCCTGAACCACCCTATGCTGATCAGATTATTTGTCCAGATGAAGAGGGCACAGAAGAAACCATTTCCTTGTGGAGTATCATCTCGAAAGTTAGGATTGAGGCCTGCATGTGGGGTATTGGTACAGCAATTGGAGAGCTGCCTCCATATTTCATAGCCAGGGCAGCTCGCCTCTCGGGAACTGAATCTGATGATGAAGAGTATCAGGAATTTGAAGAGATGCTGGAACATGCAGAGTCTACACAGGACTTTCCCTCACGAGCTAAACTGGCGGTTCAGAGACTCGTACAGAAGGTTGTATATTTTGGAATATTGGCCTGTGCTTCTATTCCAAATCTTCTATTTGATCTTGCTGGAATAACATGTGGACATTTTCTTGTACCTTTTTGGACCTTCTTTGGTGCAACCCTGATTGGAAAAGGAATAATTCAAATGCATATCCTGAAAAATCTTGGTTATTATAACATTCAGCAAGCCCATCGTGGAGCAGATGGTGGCTTTCATTGGTGCTGTCCGTGGCATAGGTCCGTCTCTGCAGAAGCCCTTCCAGGAATACCTCGAGGCCCAGCGGCAGAAGCTGCACCACAGGGGTGAGGCGGGTGCACTCCAGGGAGAAAACTGGCTGGCCTGGATATTTGAGAAGTTGGTGGTTGTGATGGTGTGTTACTTTGTCCTGCCTATCATTTACTCCATGGCACAGAGTTATGCCAAATGAATTCAGCAGCAGTTGAACTCAGAGCAGAAGACTAAATAAGCAAAAAGCCATTTTTAACTGCAGTAGTTGTAGTGGATGGGTTCTGCCTTAAATCAGAAGGAAAGGAAAGAAAGTAAGGAAAAGAAAATTCCCTTTTCCAACTGGTATCAATTTTAAAGATGTCCCGAAAGCAGTTTAGTCCCTGTTTTGCACTGACACACCTTTCCTGCGTGTGTTAAGGTGAGGTGTCCACCTTGGTTAAACCCACCTTGTATTTCATTAGGCTGGAGTGTGATGTTCAGCCACAAACTTACCAGAAACTGGCCTTCTGTTACTTTCAAAGGCCCATATGGTACAATTAGAGAATTCCTGCCACACCAAAAGTTCCTAAGTATGTTAAATATGTCAAGCTTTTTAGGCTTGTCTCAAAATGATTGTTTTGTTTTTCTAAGTCATCAAAATGTATATAAGTTCTATAGATTGGATAACAGTCTTGCATGTCTATCATGGTACAATTTAATATGCCATCCTGCCCAGTCCTTCCTCTTCCACCCTCAGAAAAAGGCCATTTTATGATGCATTGCACACCCTCTGGGGAAATTTTTTTTTCTTTTTTTTTCCTCTGGGGAAATTTATCTTTCAATTCTGAGACAGTATAAGGAAAATCTGGTTGGTGTCTCATGAATGAGCTGACACCATTTTTTATTCTGTGTATTTAGAATAAAGTCATGAAAATACTTTATAAAGACATCTTTGATCATTCCAAAAAAAAAAAAAAGAATATTGGAAGTGTTTAACTTTCTTTTCATTTCTATAGGGGCTCAAAGCTAAAGGTTTGCCTTAAATCTCAGGAGACTTTAGACTTGGGCTTTTCAACAATGCTGAAACTGTTAGGATTTTGGCAACTTTTGGATATTGACTAAAAGCCTTTTGCATAAAGGAATGCATATGAGTCTTTTGGGGGCTAGGGGCAGAATGTTATGGCTTGTATCTAGATGTCTCCCCAAAATGTCCTCCTGTTTTGTGGTCATAGGTGGAACTTTTTGAAGCTTGCTGGGTCTAGGATGTGTGATACTGGGATGAAGTGTGTGATTCGGGAATTAAGGGAGTAATACTGGGATTAAGGGTGCATGATTATTGGTTTAGCAGAGTTCTGGATATGGATAATCAGAAAGATCCACCCTGGTTCTGGGTAGCACTACCCAAAAGGTGGGTACCCTGGAAGGGATAAAAGGAAAGGCAGGCTGCTGCTTCTGCTGCTTGCTGCTTCACTGCCTTCTGCCTGCCCTGCCATGGCATGGTTTTGTTTCTCCTCTGCAATGCCCCTCTGACATGCCATCCTGCCCTGGAGCCAACCAACTATGGACTGAAACCTCTACAAACTGTGAGCTACAATAAACCTTTCCTCCTTTGTTTTCGGGTGTTCAGTATGTTGTCTCAGCAGAGAGAAAAGTAACCAAGACAGGGATCTTATGTGGAATGACCAGCACTTTAATTTTGAAAAGGAGAACAAAAGCAACATCTAGCAGGCTATTAAGTACATTTTGAACACTTTTATTAAGATTGGAGAATTTCCCAAGTTCTGAGTGCTGCTTTCCTAGCCTCCCATATTGGGAGGCCCAGGAACTTGCTCCATATCCTGTTGTTCAGGCATTCAGACAGGTCTCCCAGTAAGAAGAGAGCAGGAGGAGGCAAGAGAGCAGCATGGACTAATCTTTGCTGACTTTCACCACATCACTCAATGTGAATCTTACACATAATACAATAAGTCCCCAACTTATGAACATTCATAAGTCAGATTTGTTCATATAAGTCCAACAAAGTGAGTCTTATACACCTTTGACACAAATAGATTTTTTTGATTAAGGCTAGCTGGAATCCTATATGCCTCACTTATCTGTATGTCAAGTTCTTTTCCCCTCCTTGGGAAGTTTTCTCCCATCACTTCTGTGAAGAGTTTTTTTATGTCATCTGCACTCTCTCCTCTTTCTTCATTGACTCCAATCAGTCTTATGTTATTCTTCTTTGCATCGTCTAGCAGCTGCTGGATTGATTTCTCGTGTTCCCCTACAGTTTTAAAGCAGTTTTTCTTTTCCTCCTCACTAATTGCAATCTTATCTTCTATATGTGAAATTCTATCCTCACATTGGTTCATTCTGCTGTGCAGACTTTCGATGGAGTTTTTAATCTCTTGGAAATCTGTTTGTATCTGTTTTACGGATTCCATTTGTTTCCTATGTTGGGATTCCATCATGTTACTCAGATCCTCTATTTTTTTATCTGTGTCCTCTCTAGATTTATTAATCATGTCTTGCACCATGAGCAAAATCTTTGCTGTTATCTGAGTAATTATTTCTGATTTCCTTTTTCCCAGATCCTCTTTTGTTGCCAGTTCAGAGAGTCCAGGTGGTTGAGTATCAGATTGTTCCATCACGTTTCCCTTTGGGGTGCTGTAGGTGATCTGGAAGTCTGTTTTTGAGGCTTGTTTATGTGTCTTCTCATTTCCATGGGGCGGGGGTGCTTCTGGTGCCCACGCGGCTCACCTTCTCTGCCCTAGGAGCTTGGGATGGCAGCAGGGGAGCTTCCTTCCAGTTTCTGGGACCGGCTCACCTTCTCTGCCCTAGGAGCCTGGGATGGCAGCAGGGGAGCTTCCTTCTGGGTGCTGGGACCGGCTCACCTTCTCTGCCCTAGGAGCCTGGGATGGCAGCAGGGGAGCTTCCTTCTGGGTGCTGGGACTGGCTGAGCTTCTCTGCCCTAGGAGCCTGGGATGGAGGCGGGGAGCTTCCTACTGGGTGCTGGGACTGGCTGAGCTTCTCTGCCCTAGGAGCCTGGGATGGAGGCGGGGAGCTCCTTTGACACACATATACAATGTAAAGCATAAAAAATCCAAACACACACACAAAAATACTACAATTAAACTATTTTTACTTTTATAGTTACCTTAAACATGTGAACTGCTTGTGTGATTTGTTTGCAACTCAAATGTTTGTAGGTTGGGGACTTACTGTATATTAAAAACCAATAGCTATGCTGTTTTGTTGTTTTTAGATGACATCTGGTTTAGAAATGTGTTTGATATTTAAGGAATTTGACTTCATCCAAAGAGAGTTCTGGCCTTTGTTTCTAGGCACTTGGTATTTCCAAAGTGATAGAAATCTGTTATTTCTGCTAGGCCCCTCAACCCAGTCTTGGGGAGGCAGAGCTAAAGAGTGGCTTCAGCCCGGTGTGAAATTCATGCCTGCATCATGACAGCTCCCTAAAAACTGGACTCTGAAGCTCAGGTGAGCCCCCTAGGTTGGCAGCACCCTATGCATGTTTTTACTCCTAGATGCCTAGAGGGAGATGTTTTTTGAGAATGATAGAAACTTGACGTTTGGAACCCTACAGACTCCTCCCTGGGCTACATCTAATTTGTATCTTTTCCTTGTAATACAGGTAACTGAGTGTTACTGGGAAGCTGGTCCCTGACACAGCAAGAAATCAGACCCTTACTTTTTTGGTCTTCGTTTCTTTGTGTCCTTGATAAAAGAATTCAATCAAGATACACTGGCTGTGCAGAAGTATAGGTAGAATTCATTGGGGGGGTGGGGAGGGAGAGAGAGAGAGAGAGAGTTGTGTTGTCAGGCGAGAAGGCAGGCAATGCCAGGAAGGCATCTGCATCAATTGCAAATTTGGATACACCTTTATGCACCTGAGACTTACTTTTGCAGAACTAAGATAATTATGATGCTTATCAACATTTCATTTAGAAGTTACTTTGGAATTGCAGAATGTCTTCCTGTGCCTTTAGGTGGTCAGCATTTCCTTAGGGGCTTTAACACATCCCTGCCAGCTTGAACCACTGGTGGTACGTGCATGACTGTCCCATTGAGCAGCTTCTACCACCCAATGGGACTGTCCCATACTGACTGATAGAACGGTCATGTGTGTCACACTGGTGGTTCAGAGCCACCCAGTAGTGAGATATATGAATTATGGCCCCATCATGAGTGTGTTAATTATGTACCAAACTTATAGAAGATAAGTTCTTAATTTAAATCAGGCCCAGGCCGAAGCATGAGGGTCTTTAAAGAACAATTTCTTTCCTAATATCTTTGGACTATGGCAGCCAGAGATGCCATATGCCTTGTTCTGGAGTTAGCTGGCCAAGTGGCCAGGTATCAGAAGGACTGTGCATAGTGTTTAACCTTAGCTATCATTGTGCTCTGTGGGGTCACTTTGGGTCCGAGATCTAACAAATGGTTATAAATGTATTATACATTGAGATCTTTCCTTAATTACCTGGCAACACATGCTGTTTTGGACCCCTTGTCTCTCAGGCCTGCTAGTGTCTAACTACCTGCCTAACATGAATGTAGTCACATTCAGTGATTTCTATGAGGTTTCTAGAAAATTGTTGAACATGAATGAGTGTGGTTTTGGAATCTCTTATACTTACAGGGCCAGCCAGCTGGAAGGCTGAATCATAATCTCAGAGCCTGGCTAATTCCAAGCCACACCCAAAAAGCCATTGTATCTGACCATCACTTCTACAGGACTTCCTTACTTCTCTCTCACTACAGACAGTCTGTCACTTTCATCTAAACAGTGACATTCAAACACAAAAGATGTCTGAAAGCTGGGCATGGTGGTGCATGCCTGTAATCCCACTTTGGGAGGCTGAGGCAGGAGGATCATAAGTTCAAGCCCAGCAAGGGTAACTTAGTGATTTAGAGAGATGCTCTCTCTAAATAAAAAATAAAAGGTACAAAAACTAAATTAAATAGATTAAATAGGATTGCTAGATACAACAACAACAACAACAACAACAACAAAGGACTGGAGATATAGCTCAGTGTGAAGGCCCTGTGTTCAATACCCAGAACTCGGGGCGGGGGGCGGGGGGGAATCTAATTTATAGAATGTTGCAGAGTGCTTAGATCCGTATTGTTTGCTCTTCCCTAGAAGGCCCTTTGTTTTGGTGAAAAAAGTTTACTCAAAGTTAGCTCTGAAGGAGATGCCTCAAATCTCAAGGTAGGAGAGGAGTACAGTAAGATAATAGGCAAGGAATTCCCCCCTTGCATCCCAGGCCGTTCTCAGCTTTGGACGCGACCTCCTGGGGCCAGCATCTGCATATTTCCTTGAAGAAAGGTACTTTCAGACAGAGGTGTTACCTTCCTGTCCATTTTCCTGAGTGGAGGGGTGGCCTCCATTTCCCAGGATAAGGGGATGGCGGTTTATGCTCTCCGTATGAGGAAGTTGAAGAAGCAGCCTGTCTCTAAAGGGAAAACTGGAAAATCTTAGCTAAGTGTGGTGCACAGGCTTATAACTTCACCCCTCTGGGAGGCTGAGGCAGGATCACAATTTTGAGCCCATCCTGGGGAACAATGAGACTTAGTGAGACTCTGTCTCAAAACAGGAAGTAGAAAGTGCTGGGAATGTAGTTCAGTATAAAGGCCCTGAATTCAATACTCACGACTGGAAAAAAGAAATCTTGATTTTTAAAGCTTTATTTTACTCTCTCGGTTAGCAAAGGTCTGCATAATGGGGGCACCAGAAGGAAGCGAAATGTCTTCAGTTAATTGTGGCAAACATTTTCTTTTATAAGGAATCACAAAAAATGTGATTACTTTTACAGGAAAAGCTCACATTTATGAACTGTAGTTCAGTAGAATCCCCTGGTACGTGTTGGATCCAGAAGTGTTTTCATTTGCTTTGCTTTTGTTCTTTTGAGACAGGCTCTCACTGTGTAGTTCAGGCTGGCCTTGAACTCATTGTGTAGCCCAGGCTGGCCTCAATTTCATGGCAATCCTTTTTCTTTGCCTGCAGAGCGCTGGACTTCTGAACATAAGCCACCATGCCAGGCAGATCCCGAAGCTTTAAGTATATATTTCCTGTATAAAACATCAGTTGGGGGTCTTTGCTATGAGCTAAATTTTTAAAAATTGTTATTTGATGGAAAGGAGGAACAAAGTTCACGTATCACATTTACTCCTTGGCCTGCAGGTATAGACAGTTCGTGAGATGAGTGACTCAGAAGATGATGATACCCCCCAGCTGTCTGCCTACACTTTAGCAGCTCTCCAGGAATTTTTTGCCGAGACTCAATGCACAGACTCAACTGGGGATGGTAAATATAACGTTGGAGTGATAGAAGAAAACTGGGTAAGAAATGTGTTCTTGTCCATGAGGAAGTAGTGAAAACCCTGTTCCGTGCCCGGTCCTGTGTTCGGGTAGGTCTGTGGCCTACCCAAACACCAAAGTCTCTGGCACCTGCCTTTTGGGAGCTGGTAACTCTATGAGGACAAGAAATTTCCCCTCTTTACATATTTTTAGCTTCTGCCTTGATACTTCTGTAGGTAATGCATGTCAGAAAACTGAAGTACTACATTATTCCTGAAGTGATCTTTTCTTTCTGCTCAGTATTTTTTGGTACAGTGTACTATTTTCTGACTCTAATACTAACCTATGGTTATTGTAGAATATACATAAAAGTGTGAAGAAGGAATAAAAATTAGTCCTAATCCCACTAGTACAAGTAACACAGTGGGGGCGAGAAGACCACTCAGCCTCTACACACTTGAGTTTGGGCAACACCCCAGGGCCAATCCTTCTGTTGTCCTTAGAGAAGGAGAAAATCAAATAACAAAGAACCAAGAAATCTCAGAGGCTCTAGGCCAGAGCACAGGTATGTTAGATCTTATGGTCTGATCTTTAGTAACCTTGCCCCCACTCAAACCTTATTAAAGGTTCATAAATATGGACTGCATCTCATACATATAATTTAATCAGAGTGAACTCTGGGACATGCACTCTCATCGAATGCCCTTGAGATGACTCAACAGTCATTCCTGTCAGTCTTACTAGATATACAATGGAAAGCCCTGGGCTAGGATGCACTGCCTTTAAAGTCCAGAAGCCTGATTTATCTGTCCCCTGTGCTGTGCTTTTTGCTTTCCTGTCATCCTGGCCCTGCTTTTTTCTTCATGCCACACTTTTGTCAGCATAGATCTTCCCTGAGCACATCTTCCCATAATCTGCAATAAATGCGGTTGCTTTTCTTTTACCAGTGGATGTACATTTGCAATTCTTTGCTTGTCGTACAAAAGAGCTGAGAATCTATCTTCTAAATCCATCATATGGTACCACCACTACTTTCTAATTTTGACACTTTCATTTAGTATAGTTTATTGATAAAATTGAGGAAATCTGCCAGGAAATAGAAAAAAATTGTAGTGATGAAGTACAGTAAGGAAAATATTAGAAAACTAGAGGATAAATCCAAGAGTTCATTATTCAGCTAAAAGGAGTTCAAGAAAAATAAAACAAAAAACAGAGAGGAGGAAATTTTCAAAGAATAATATTAGAAAGTTTCTGTATCTGATGACTCTCACTAAGATACATGGTTGTGATGATTATGAAAATTCTAGATACGGTGATAAGATCCTAAAACCTTTCAGGGGAAGAGCAGGTTCCCTACAGAGTCTCAGGCCTAGAGTCACATTGCACTGGTCAATAGCTTTATAAAAACTAGAAATCTAAAAATGCCTTCAACATTTGGAGTCAAACTTTTATTCCACCTAAAATTCCACACTCAGCTAAACTGTCATTTGTGTGATGACAAGAAAACCTTTTAGATGTGACAGACCTCATATTTACCTCCCGTACACTTCTCAGGAGTTGCAGGAGAATTTGCTCCCACAAATAAGAAGTAAGAGAAACAGGTTTAATGCAGGATATACAAATATATCAGAATTCACAAGATTGGCTCACAGTGGCTGCCTGCAGAGTCAGGTGTGGACAAGTGCAGAAGGGCTATGTACACTGACGATCCAAAGGATCTAGTCAAAGGCTTGGAGCTCAGTGTATTGTCCCGTGTGAGTCCATATCAGGAGGCTGAAGGGTCTGCGCTGGAAGCCAGGAGACAGTGTCCAAAGCGAAGGTAAAGACTGGAGCTCCTCTGAAGAAACAGAAGCGAGCCTGCCTTCTTCGTTCCCCTTTACACCGTTCAGGCACCAGTCTTCCCTAGGGCCGGGCTTCCACAGCCAGAACCATGCCGAGCCAATTTAGTTGGATATTTCTTACTCAAGTTGACACAGTCACTCAACTAGCACATAAAGCAAAAAAGGAAGACATGAGCTCCAGGGAGTAGGAGGACTGACACACAGGTGGGCGAGGGAGTTCCCAGGATGATAACACAGGAAGCCCCAGTGCAACAGGTGTGCTGCACACCTGAGAATAAGTGCTCCAGAGCATTATAGGAGGATGACATGTTCCAGGATACAGGTCTATAGGGGGAAAATGTAAAATGACAGGATGTCTGAAAGGAAGAAGGGGTTATGTACAGAGTTCATGCAAATGAAATGATGCATTCATTAACTTTAGGAAAAACAACAAAGAATCCTACTGGAAGGAATGCATAGAATGGTACCTGATGATTGGTTCCAACTCAGCAAAGCTGAGTTACAGCCATACTGAGAGTGGAAAGGGGAAAGGTGTGTATGAGAACAAAATTCCACCTTCACGACAAATGCACAGTGTATAAAGTGGATTAATCAATAGGTAGCATTTAAACACAACATTTAAAGACGGGCAAGCAATCAAAGGAAGAGCCAAGGGTTGAAAGTGGCTCCTGAGGACTTGGGCCCAGGGTTGGAGAACTTGGGACATGAAGCTTCATTTTCTAAGCTTGACAGTCCTTTTGACTTTTAAAGTTATATTCATGTGGTGCATTGATCAGAGCTGATATTTTCATTTTGTTGAGTGCTGTGAGAAGAGCCAAATACATCTTTGTCTCCTAGCGGTGTTGGGTGAGCAGGAAGGGCAATTCAGTGTGTGAGCAGATACAGTCTGCTGCCTTCCATGTCCAGTGAAGCCAAAGCTCCTACACCCTGTGTATGCCAGGGGCTTTCCTCCAGCTGTCCTTCCTAATCACAGGGGGCAGGCTCTGAGCTCAGCCTGCTTCCTGCAGCTAGGAATGGATAGACATAGATGTACAGATGCCAGTGTGAATTCATACCTGTATGCTAATGTGTGTATATTGTCTTTGGAAACACTTTAAAACTTGTTTTTATAAGTAGATATTCAGTAAATACTATGTGATATCCATTTGGGAAGTAATATGGAGCAGTCACATTTTTCATTGTAGGCAGCAACTGTTATTGATTTAAAGATTCATTTACATTTTCCATGCCATTTGCCATTTTGAATAACACTTCATCCTAATTGTTGTAGTCATTTTGAATCTGTCTAGTTCTCAGTAACCCGGAACCATTAATATTTATAAGAGCTTCCTGATAAACATTTTAAAAGGTCAAGGATAGTGCAACAATAAATAAAGCAAACTATTCTCAGACAGAAGTGATGACTGTTATGATATGTGCTATGGGAACGAAATGCAAGGACACCAAACCTGACAGCAGCTAGTTGGGAGAGCTGAGGAAAGCCTCCTAAAGCAACAGGTGGGAGGGAATCAGAGGCTGCAGCACCCTAGATTTTGAGAGAACTTCAACCCTCATTAACCATGCATAAAATTAAAGTCTTCATGGATTAAAAATAATAAAAATGTTAAAGGAAGATATGTTTTTATCTAAAGTAAACAATGAAATTGATCAAATTTAAAACATGAATTTAGAAATTTATCAATAACAGAAGGTACCTTAAATAAGATTAAGGGAAAAAGACAAGGAGATAATATCAGTATTGTATAGGAAAACAAAAGATTAACAACCAGATGTCCCTGCCCACCAGCCCAACATAGCAGGAAGCATGTGGCAGGCACACGCAGCAAGGTCTGTTACTTACTATGAGAGAGAGACTGGACCACGGGTAGCTGTGGATCATTTCAGCAGAGGGGCTTAAGAGAAGATTGTTTTGTGATACAGGCTTGTGCTCAGTGGTGGGGAGTTGGCCAGAAAGCAAGCAGTTCTGTTAGTGGATGCCTTGAATACCATCCAGGAGGGGAAGGAGTCAGTGGGGCTAAAGCTGTAATTTGTGGAGCATCAGCAGGCTCTCATGTGAGCTGGTGAGGGGGATGCTTGGTCAACCCTCTTAGTAATGTTAGCAGTCACTAATACTCAGTGCCTAGATTTCAGTAACTCGTTAGGGCTCTATTACTTTAATTTGATATAAAAGTTAATTTTCAAAAGGAAAAAAACATACACACACTGGTATAGTAGGTATAATAAATGAAAAGGGCAAAATTTACATCAGTTCTAAAATGGTATCACCACATATCTGTGTTACAGCAGTTGAGCCAGTTTTGGTACAGTCGGGAAACAGCCTTTCAACTCGCACAGGAAGCAGTCACTGCTGCAGGGGACAGTGGCAGGTGAGAATCAGATTTTGTTTTCTAACCTGAATGAATCTGGGGGTGCCACATCTCATATATGGCAGAAAACCCAGTCATTGTGCTTACGTGAATCTATAATATGGTGTCTTAGGTACTTTCTTGTTGCTGACACCCACAAGTTAAAGGAGGAAAGTTTTACTTTAGCTCAGTTTGTAGAAGTTTAGGTCCATAGCTGGCTGGCTTCAAGGCAGGGCGGCAGGGCAGGGAGGAAGAAGTGAAAGTTTCCTTTTCGTTCCCTTTTCATTCCATCCAGTCTGCAAGTGTAGTGGTCAGTGCCACCCTCACCCAGGGAGGGTCTTCCTCTTCAGTAAATTCATCTTTCACCCCAGAAGGATACTAAACTGATCAGCAGACTAATCCAGTACCACACACCCTGACCCAGTTCCTCTCAAAGACCCCACCTGTGAACTTAGGAAGGTTTGGAGGGTCATGGAGATATAAGTCATGACATGTGGTGAGTGTTCTTCTTAGATCAGAGATGGTTTTAAGGCATCTGAACTACAATATGCAAATACTGTATTGCTTCAGTGGTAAGTTTAGGGACATACTCAGACATGTAGTCATTGTGGCGTTTCGTATCTGTATTCTTTATTTTAACACTTGCTAAACTGTTTCTTACCTTTATACTTCTAGAATTTACTTTAAAAGAGAGAATCTTGGAAACTGGAGGTGTAGCTCAGTGTCAGAATACTTGCCTAGCACGTCCAAGGTCCTGGTTTCAATCCCAATCCCCAGCACCACCAAAAAAAGTTCAACCTTTTTGAAGTTTTATGGATATAGGTTTTCTTTTTCGTTAACTTCTTTTTATTTTTATCAGAAAAACATCCATTAATAATCTCCCTTATACCTGCCCTCTACTTTTGGCTCCTTTTCAGGTGATTCTTTCAGTATTCACAAGTTGTAAATAATACGCTTACATTGGCATCACAGCACTCTACCCTCACCCATGGAAATTTATTCTGTAGTCCCCAGTAGATACCTGAAACTGCAAATAGTATAGATCCCTGTATATACTATGCTTTTCCATACATACACACTTACATTAAAGTTTAACTTTATATATTAGACACAGTAAGAGATTAATAATAATATCTGATAATAAAATAGACCAATTATAATAACATACTATAATAGAAGTCATTTGAAACTTATGAATTATTTCTGGAATTTTCTATTTAATATTTCAAGACCACAGTTGGTCGCAGGTAACTGAGACTGTAGAAAGCAGAACCAGTTATGAAACATCAGGCAGAATGTCACAGTAGAAGAGCATGGTGTCAGCTCACAGCATCTGGAGAGTGAAGCAGGCAGCAGCACCAGAGAGGAAGGCACCAGGGAGCTGGTATAGTGCCAGGGCTACACCTCCATGAAACACCCGGGCACACCCAGAATGTACTGTACCAGTCCCTAAGCAGCTCCCGAGTCAGTCCAGTCGATAGTCCATCTCAGCTGTCACACTAGGCGATGCTCCACCACTGAGCTCCACCCGATCCCCTTTCCAGTTTTCTCACGTTATCATATTGTCGGCTGTGTTTGGCATCTCCCTCCTGGGCATCCCCAGTCCAGAGAACATTCCTCCGGTTTCCTGACAGTTAGGGTGGTGCAGATGCCTCAAGGCATGGGGTACAAAAGGAAATCTTGGGAACAAATTGCTTCTTAAATAGATCTCTCAACAACTGTCCTGCCTTTAGTTTACCTTCTTCCCTGTGTCTTTAGTTTCATTGGTCTGCAGCATCCTGAGCTCTTGGGGAGGCTGTGAAGTGAGCCAGGAAGGTGCTTGGCCATCCTGGCTGCCAGGGTCAGATTTGGCTTTCTTGGATCACTGAGCCACTCAGCACCTATCTGTCTGCCTTCCAGCTTCCTGGCTGCTTTGTGCTCTTTATAGTCTTCTTTTAATCCCTTTCCTCTCAGAGTTTATGCCCAAACAATAAAACAAAACAAAATTTTACTCTTGTTTTACTTAGTAGGCTTTCATGAGGAAGCAAATTTAATAAATGTGTTCAACCTACCCTCTTTCACTGGAGGCCTTAAATATTCCTTTTTCTCTTCTGTTTTGTTGCTGTTTATTAGGTTTTTCTTAGTGTGTGTTAGCTTTCTGTTACTGTAACAAATACACGAGGTAAGTCATTTTATAGGGAGGAGAGGTTTATTGTGGCCATAGGTTTGGAGGGTTCAGTCCATGATCAGTTGGCCCCAGTGCCTCACCTTATGGTGAGGCAGCATGTTTTGGTAAGGATTATGTGGAGGAAGCTTGGGTGCCAGTATTCCCTTCAAGGGTACACGGACCTAACTTCACTCTACTAAGCTTCACCTTCTGAAGGTATCATGAGCTAGGGACCAAGCCTTTACCACATGGGCCTCTGGGGGCATTCAGTGTCCAGCTATAACGCTTAGTGACTGTTTTTACTGATACTTGCCGGTTTTCATTAATATGAGGGCCTTGGAAGCAACTTTAAATTTTTTCTGAAAGGTGACTTCAGTATTTGTCAGGACTATGTCGTACTTGTAAAGATGAATAATAGCAGGTAGCATTTATTGAGCACTTACCATGTGCCCTCTCACATTAGGTGTTCTACCAGCATTGTCTCATTTACCCTCACACCTCTGTGAAGCAGTTGCTTTTATACTCTCCATTTTATCAATTTTTTTGTTTGTTTGTTTTTTGAGACAGGTCCTCACTATGTGTCCCAGGCTGGACTTGAACTTGAATTCACAGCAATCCTCCTGCCTCAGCCTCCCAAGTGCTGGGATTACAAGTGTGCATCACCATGCCTAGTTTATGCCCTCCAATTTAAAGACAGACCCTGTGTTGGGGGAGATTCAGTCATGTGCAGAGGTCACTCAGAGGGAACCTACACTATTTCAGCTGACTTCTTCAGTCTTTCTGCTTTCGTTCCTTCCCCCTGGAGCCACTGCCCTGCCTGAAGGGCATCCTGTAGAACTGTCCCAGGAAGCCTGCTACCGATAAGCTTTCAGATTTTGTCTGTCTAAAATCTTTATTTCTCCTTCCTTCTCAGAAGTGATCTCCATTTTGTGTGTCTATGGTAAATTTCTTCTCAGAAGAGATTTCCATATGCACGTGGTGTGTATATGGTCCTCGATTGTTGCTTGTTTCTTCAGTGTAGTGAATGTGTAATCCCATTGTCTCTTGCTGTGTTCTCCCCACCCCCAACAAGTGTGTGGGGAGGATCATGTCCCTGCCAGCTGGGACTAAGACACAGAAGCATTCTGTAGCGTCAGCAGGCTTTATTATCCCCTGCAAGAGTGTTTGGGCATCTAACTGGAATAGGTGACACTGTCTCTCTTAAGAAACACATTTTTAAAGCTAAGTTTCATTTTAGAATTAAGTCCTGTTTTGATTGACCAATATATGCATATAGTAAAAATCCAAAAGTTACAAAAGGAATTGAAAGAAACAATTAGTCTCTGTTTCCCAGTGTCTTTAGTTCCACCAGGCCCAGTCCACAAGGTAGCCATGGCCCTTTGCATCCGTAAGTATATGTTCCCACATCTGTGAAAGCATAATTAATACTCCTCTGCCTTTTGAGTAGATCTTGAAGATCATTTCTTATCAGCATATACAGGGCTGCCTCAGTCCTTTTAAAGTGTCTACAAAACACTTTATTAAAATAGATGTACCAAAAATAAAAAATAAAATAGATGTACCACAGTCAACACTGTAGGTTACTTCTAGGTTTTTCAGCAGCTGAGTTTAAAAGTTAGCTCTTAGATACTACGCATTCATAAACTATGGACTGTCTAATAAAATAGATTATTTGGGTTGAGGGTATAGCTCACCGGTAGGTGCTTACCTAACATACAAGACCTTGGGTTCAATCCCCAAAAACTCCACCCCCCCAAAAAAAGAAAAATAGATTCTTTAATTTCTTTACACAGAAAAAATTGCAGATATTCAAAGTAGCTTTCCATAATAATCTTTCTATAATTTTTTAATGTAACTTTTTGGAAAACGAGTTATTTAGGGAGTTATTTTCTTTCGAGGTAATGAATATTACAAAATGACTTCAGAATATTTAGTTTGGACTAAGAGTATTTGAAATAAATATTGAAGACTCAACATGAAAATAATAGGTGAATTAAGCTTTGAGTTAACTACATATAACTCTAATGTGTGCCTGGTGTTTTTTACATTTTTTTCCCTGTGCAAAGCATATTTATTATTTCAGACCTCAAAATTATGAGTTGCAGATTTTTAAATGCCAAATTTCTTAAGAGTGAGACTGTATAAAGCTTTTTCCTCAGATTTACTAATCATTAGCTTGTACTGTTGTTTCTTTTAAGAAAACGTGAACACAAGGCCTGTTATATTTTGGTAAAGTTGTTCCTTTGCATTGTTAAAGACTTGTTCCAAGCTTGTTCATTTTGTGTTCTAGAATAGCATGTGTGAGTGCCCCCAGTGTTTACCAGGCCCTCAGAGAACTGCGCAGAGACGACATCTTTGTGTCCATCTTTGAATATGACAGAAGATTCGCCATGTATGGAGAGGAATTTGTCTTCTATGATTACAATAATCCACTGGATTTGCCTGACAAAATCACTGCACATAGTTTTGACATCGTAATAGCAGATCCTCCTTATCTTTCTGAGGAATGTCTCAGAAAGACTTCAGAAACCATCAAGTACCTGACGCGGGGCAAAATTCTTCTGTGCACAGGTAGGTGCCACATTTCTTATCTCAGGACAGTTCATATTCAAGTCCTTGGTTTCAAGAGCTGGAAGAGATCTAGGAACTCCTAATCCTGAATCCAACACATACTGTATGACCTTATGCAAGTTATTTAATCTTTCTGTGCCTTTTAAGGGTTGTAGTGTTACTGTGGCATGAGCAGATGTAGTCTAGACTCTTGTGTATGACAAGAAAGAATTGCCAAGTGAACACCCAATAGCAAGTTGCAAGCAGCTATGTTTAGTGAAGATCATAGGAAGTTGTGCTCAGGGAAAGTCCATGCAGATAAAAGATATGGCACAAACAGAAAAAGATGCCAGGATGACAGAGAAGTAAAAACACTGCACATGGGTCATAGCACACAGAAATAGCAACAGCAACAGTTCATGAATAAGTCAGGCTTTCAGAATTTAGGTACCTCAGTCCAGGTGCCTCCTCCTGAATCTTTAGGTATGATTGACACGCTGCTTTGGCATCTCAGAGGCTCTCAACATGCATGTTTATGCCAGAATTCACTCTAATCTTAATTAACATATGACATGTATTACATATGTATGAACCCATTTATACCAAACATTGAAATTTTTTGAATTTTTGCATGAAATTTATGTATATTACCTAGACAAATTCAAGGAACAAGAATTTGAGAGGAAAAAAGTTTTATTATGTTCCACTGTTATGGGTGTTCCAAAAATGGAACACTAAGCATAAAGGGATTAAGGAGGTAGGAGTAGGGAAAGGTGACTGACACCAGGCTAGATCTAATATGCATGCGCTGTCACCTAGAGGATAGAGATCTGCTGGGTTTTTGTTATTTTATTTTCTACCTCTCTGAACAGTGGAAGGAGAAATGGCCATAGGGTGCTGTTTAGAATTAAATGGATAAAAGGAAGTGACTTCCTCAGCTCCATTGTTTCCAACTGTACTAGTAGTGAATCAAGTGACATAACATACTCGGAGTGCTTAACGCAGTGCCTGGTGCATACTACATTCATACACTGGTGCACGTTCGTCATGATTTTCAGTGCAGCAGCAGTAGTAACACTGGTAGCAGTAGTATTTGATCCCAGCTGTGCAAGTGATAAAAGAGAAAGGGCACCTGTATGACTGAATAAATTGTGCAAGGTCACAGAGCTACCTTAGGGTTCTTAAACTAGAATAATTTTCTTATTGGAGCTACCGACACACTTTGTTAGAGTGGATGTAGTAAAGTTTAGGAATTGAAAATGCTATTCTTTGTTCATACAAATGTGATTTATCAAGGTAGGTTCATTCATTCAACTACTGTTTACTACCCACCCACCCCAATGGTCAGGTTGTCCAGCCTTTTAGTTTTAGGGGATAAGTGTTTAAAAAATATGACAAAGCAGACTAAAGAATTCACTCACTAATTGTAGTCAGTGTTATGAAAGAGAGATGGTGCTGGTTTCAAGAATCACCTGTGCTCAAGGGAAGAGTCTGGGCTCAGGGAGATCCCTGGATGCTGGGGTCCAGGTGAGAGCAGCCAGGGAGCAGCAGAGCTGGTGGGGGCAGTGTTCCCTGCCTAACCTGTGCAGGCAGAAGGTCGGCGGGGGGGGCGGCTTTGCATTGCGCAGGGCCCAGTTTTTCTAGAGAAGTTCCCTTGAAGGACTTACTACAGAGCAAGTAGCCATGGGTGCCACGTGGGGCTGCCACAGCGTCCAGCTGGGGGCGAGCGACAGTAGTCCGGGCAAGGTCTTGCAGTATGAGTGGTTTAAAGATGGATTCTGGAGATAAAATCGGGAGAGCTATCCAGGTGCTGTCAACTCAGCACTCAAGAGGCTGAGGCAGGAGGATGGCAAGTTCAGAGCCTGCATAGGCTACATAGACTCTTTCTCAAAAAACAAAACAAGACAACAACAAAAAGTGAGCTCACTGTATTCTGAATGTGGAAGGGATGAAAGTACAAACACCGGGGATGCCTCAGGCTTCTGGCCTGTGCTTCCGTAGTGTGGATGTTGGAGCTGCTGGTGCAAGGCGTGGGCTGGGAGGGACACTGAAGGAGAGGACAAAGAAGCGATGCCGGTGTGCTCAGCCATATGCTTAGCAAGTTAGGTATCACCAGAAAAGATTCTTGGCTCAACATGGGGAAATCCTTGTTTTTAATAATTATTTTTACTTTCCTTCGTGGAATATAATCTTCTTCTAAATAGCTAAATGTCCCAGCTTTGGAAAATTATTTATTAACTAAAAAAAATGCAAATAAAATATAATTATTAGCTAAAAAAGAATTTGCAAAAATGTTGGGGGGAGGTAAAAGGGAATAGAAAGAACCCCACCCCTAGTGTGTCGAGCGGTACCATCGGTGCTGCTTCCAGTATTTTATTCTGAAATCATCCCCACACCTTAGGATTGGCCTGTCTGGGCTCTGAGCTCACTGCATCTGTTCTCCTCAGGTGCCGTCATGGAGGCGCTAGCAGCACCGCTCCTAGGAGTGAAGATGTGCACATTTATCCCAAAACACACCCGAAACTTGGCAAATGAGTTTCGCTGTTACGTGAATTACGATTCTGGGCTGGACTGTGGAACCTAAATACAGATTGTTACATAATGCAATAAAGGACCCTGGCTGACATGGCCATTTCCCTCTTTTTATTTTCTTTTGATTGAAAATTTATAATCTCTCCCATCCTTCCCCAAACTGGGGCCATCTGGCTTAATTGTCAAAATAAATGGTATAGGGCCGGGGATTTAGCTCAGTGGTTTTGCCGCCTGCTGCGTAAGCGCAAGGACCCGAGTTAGATCCCCGGTACCAAAAAATAAAAAATAAATGGTACAGCTTCTCATTATTGTTTTTTTGATGAGCTCGAGATTATTCTGTCAACCCAAATCCATGGAATTAAGACTTGGAGGAAATCTTAGAACCTATCTGTTCCACACTTCTCAACATACAGTATATGAAAAACAGAAGGAAAAACACATAGTGGCCTGCCCAGGCCTCTGGAATTAGACAGGACCTTGGCTTCAGCCTTCAGCCAGAAAATTCCCTTAAAATGGGCTCCTGGAAGTAGCACCCTAGGACTTTTGGGCCCCCCAAGTCCTCCTGCTCCAGCCCAGCCCATCAAGGAGACCTGACTGGCCTCTGTGAAGTAAGTTGATAATCCAGGGACTGGTGTCTGAGTGCCTCTTGGGTTTTTCCTTCTCGTTCCACTTCTTGGAGAGGGACTAAGAATGTAGCCCTGGTTCCCTGTGTACCTAGCTCAGTACTAGCACCCTAACTCCAGGATGCCTGAGGGACCACCTCTAAACCAAGCCCCATAAGCAAGAAACAGAGCCGGGGAGTGTGCCAGATTCTTTCCTCCACACCTAGGGACAACTCAGTAACCCTAGAGAGTGAACCCTGGCCACATGCAAATGGGGTGGACCTCAACGATGTCACGTCGAACGAAAAGCTGACCCCCAGAGTTGGCGTGCCATATGTTTCCCACTATACAATAGCCGTCTGGACTGGAGAGCAGGTTAGTGGTTGGCAAGGCTCAGGAGCAGGGAAGGATGGGTTGGTGCTGGGAATGCTCTGCATCTTGTTCTGTATCTTGTCTGTGGTGGTGGTTTCACAGAAATCTGCACATATGAACTCACTGACAAATGGTTGTGTGTAAAAGTAGGAACTCTAAATGGGATCTGAGGTGTCACCTGTCTGTAATTACATAAGTTGTTACCATCTGGGCAAACTGGGTAACAGGCACACAAGAACTCTTGTTTTTGTAATTTCTTGGGAATCTAAAATCATTTTTAAAAATATTAACACCCTCTCTCTGGGAATGGAAGTTTCCTCCCCACCTTTATGATTTGCTTTGGCCAAGAGAATGTGAAAGGAAATGGCATATTTACTTCTGAGCACTCCTCTGTTTGCCTTTGACACAGCAGCCAGCAGTATTCCAGACAGAAGCTGTTCCAGGTATCTTGTCCTCAGGTGTGGCAGGGACATGACAAGCTCACGAGGGACAGTGAGAAATGAGCCTTGGCTGTTGAGCATCAGAGATGTGGACTCATTCCTCACTGGAGCAAAGTCCATCTGAGAGGAGGGACAGGCACAGGGAAGCCTGTTTCCAGGTCCAGGGAGACCTGCTTTTTCCTGTTATTTCTTGGACCTCACCTGTCATGCTTCTGGAAAACTTTTAATTTACTTTAAAAATCACTGTATTTTTAAGAGACATTGGTATTTTTATCAGTGTACTACACCTGACACATGTTAAGTGTTCGATAATAGTTCTTGGAAAAATAACCCTGACCTTATTATTTCCTGATGAATCAGTTCACTAAAAATTACTGAGGCCAATAACAAATCTGAGTGACAGATTACTAATAGAAATGAAATGTTCAGCTTAGGCATTGTGAATGAGTAGCAACCTAGGAATCACAGAATGTTAGGTGTCCTGTAAACCCATCATCTAGTCAAAGAGAAAGCTTATTTCTTCTCCAGGGGAGAGGGCAGAGAAGGAAAAGTTTAGCTCATCAGAAGTGTATGCAAGTCTAGTCAGAAGGGTTACTACGTGAGGTCACGGCATTTTTGTTTAATGAGCTGCCAATGTGAGTTTCATGGCTTTGTGATTTCAATTATAGCAAACCTATGTTCATGTATGATCCCCTTCTGTATCTCATAAAAGATCTGGAGCTCAACCTCTGCAGCCTTTTAAACATGATTTAGGCCTGATGTGTTCTTGGGATCTGGCTGTTCAAGTGGAGGTGCTTGGGAGGAGGTTTGGGGAATCCTGGGCTGGAGCCAACACAGTCCTATAGGTCTTCCAGTCCTATACCCAGACATGGTGGGGACTCATGCACTCTTGGGGAGACAAAGTAACCGTCCCATGATGAGAAAGAAACAGATGATTTCAGTTTTGCTAACAGAATCCAGTCATTTCCCTGTAATTCATCAGTGTGTTGGGGTGATGAAGCGCCTGAACAGCAAGAGCAGTTGACATGCACGGGAACTGTAAGAACCCATTTCAGATGGGGGTTCCATGTTCTTTCCCCTGCTATTCCTCTTTAAAATCTGCTCTAGCCAGTTACCAAAAGTGATCATTTTTTTTCCCCATTGGTCCTGCTGAAGAGATGCAGAAAAACAAAAAGTTTGGGGTGTTGGCCTGTGAATGTGGAGTTGTTGGCATTTGCAAAATTTTGGATCTGTTTTGTGATACTGGGGATTGAACCCACGGCCTTTGCACTGAGGTACAGCCCCAACCCTCTTTATTTTTTGTTTTGAGACAGGGTCATACTAATTGCCCAAGTAAGCTCTAACTTGGTGATCCTCCTGTCTCAGCCTCCCAGAGTACAGAGATTATAGGCATGTGCCACAATGTTTTGTTTGGAGACAGGGTCTACTTGTCTCCTACGAGATTCCAAACTTATAAATAGCTGGTATCACAGGTGTGTGCCACTGTACCTAGTGCAGGCATTTTTTTGACTGCTAGTCCCAGATGATTTTGTTTTTATGAAACAGACATACAATGAAAATACAGTAATCAGATGCCTAGTGAATGCCTGAACCCTGGGATAGTATTCAACCCTGTATGTGGGGTTTTCTCTATACCTGCATACTTAGGATAAAACTTCATGGGGTAGACACAGTAAGAATTTGATAATAACTAAAAACAGAACATAATTACTGGTATGGCAATATACTGTAATAAATTTACCAGCCATCACTACACTTGTACATTAGGGGCCTTTTTTCTTTAAAAATAGGAGGCAGGGTAGCTAGGCATGGGGGCCCACACGGGCAATCCCAGCATTTAGGAGGCTGAGTCAGCACAGTAGCTGCAGGTCCACAACCAGCATGGCCCATGTAGTGAGTTCAAGACCACCCTGAACTACACAGTGAGATTCTGTCTCAAAAAGGCAAAACAAAATTATCTATCTGTCTGTCTGTCATCATCTGTCTATCATCTGTCCATTTCAGGGTCTCACTATGTTGCCCAGGATGCCCTCAAACTCCTGGGCTCAACTGATATTCCCACCCCAGCCTCCCAAGTGGTAGTGGGGACCACAGGCATGTGCCACTGCTTGCAGCTTCAGGGCCATATTAAGGAAAATAAAGGTTGCTTGACCATAAGCATTCCAACAACCGGCAGTTGATCTGGTCACAGAGACACACAGGGTGGTAGCATAGACAGCATGGACAAAGGAATGATTCAGCAGGATTGAGGGGGACAGTGTCAGCTCTTCTCCCAGCATGCAGAGAGGTATGCAACTCGAAACTTACGAGGTACTGCTGGAATTGTCCATGGGTAACCGAAACCAACGGTAGGGGACTACTGTAATGTCAGCGGACTGGAAAAGATCTTCATAACCAGCACGGCGCCTTCATTCCAAGGGCTGACAGTCTTCGAGGCAGACTATCTGAAGGAAGCATGCACCACGGCACTGTTTGGGAGGCAGGGAAGGAGAGGCTAAGTCCAGCAGCAAGCACTGCATCCCAGCAAAGCCTGGGAATGGGCAGCACCCACACAAATGAGCGTGGCCATGTTGACTGCACGGTAAAATAGAGAAGAGGGGAAGGATGTCACTGACCTTGGGCAGGCCTAATTTCTCTGGGCAGGAAATGTCCCTATTTGTGTGATAAAACCCAATACCCATTTCTTCCACCAAAGCAAAACACAAAACACACTGGTTTTAGCAAAAGAACAAAACCCTGTCCTTCCTTTTAGAAACAGCGTGGTCCCATACTCAGTCACCACCTCTGTTTCAACTTGTTAGCATCTGATTGCTGCTGCCTGGGTGAAAGCCATGCAGATTTCATTTTAAACTATATTTTATACAAAAGAAGGAATAGTCGTTCTAGGTGACAGACCTTTCCTCAAGCAATAAATACAGGATGAAGAAGGATTAGCTGGGATGACTGGGACCACTGTGCTTTAGGGTTTCCTTAGGGCCAGACACTGTCTGGGTGGGTGCTTTACCAACAGGGTTTAATCTTCACAATCACTGTAGCAGCTCAGCAAGGGAAAGGGACACAGGTGAGCACCTCTCACGTGTAAGGAGCTGGCACACAGAAACCAATTCCACTCTGGCGGCAGATCCTGTGTTTAGCTTAACAGGTTGCATCCAGGGGTGGTGAGATACACCTATGATCCCAGCACTCCAGGACGCTGAGGCAGGAAGATCACAAGTTCAAGCCTGGCCTGGGAAATTTAACAATTTAGGGAGACCCTATCTCAGAATAAAAAATAGAAAGGGATGGGGGGTGTAGCTCAGTCCAAAGGCCCTGGGTTCACTCCCCACTCCCACACCCTAAAGAAGCAAAGAAAGATTGTGTCTTGTCCACAGCTGTCCTCCAGGAGCTGTGTGCCTGCAACCAGGCAAGTGCTTGCTGTATATTTTGTTAGTTAGCTCTTTGTTGCTACAACAAAATGCCTCAGATAAGTAACTTATAAGAGAAAGGTTTATTTTGGCTCACAGTTCTGAAAGTGCCAGTCCAGGTCAAGCAGACTTGTCTGGACCTCTAGTGGGAATGCCAGATGGCAACAGCAGTGAGCATATGGCAAAGCAAAACTTCTACATCATGAGCCAGGGAGCAAAAGAGAAGGAGCCAGGGTCCCACAATCCTCTTTTAAGGACACGACTTTGGTGACCTAAAGATCCCACTCTGAGGGGGCTCCTCCTAAAGGTTACACATGGGCTTCTGGGGGATATTCAACATCCACACTGGGGGCTGGTGGTGTAGTTCAGTGGTACAGCACTTGCCTAGAGTGATTAGGGCTCTAGATTCAGTGCCAGCATAGGAATATAACAAAGCAAGCAAGCAAAAGGTAAGCAAGTAAACAACCCAAACTAGAGCAAATCATACTAAATGGATGAATATTCCTTTCAGAGAAAAAGCACAAAGACTGCCTTTGTAGCTGTTAGAATTGGAAGCTAGTTTCTTCCGGAAATGTGCTACCTTTTAGCAAGCTGAATTTAAGTAACACAATGAGTAAAATAGTGACATTTTCCTCTTGCAAATAGTTTAGTCTCCTTAATTCTTGCCTCCTTGGACACACTATTATGTTTGAGGAGCAGCCTGGGAAATGTTACACAGTAGCAGCAGCAAAACAGCTATTCAAATCACTGGTTCAAAAGGCAGTTTTTAATCTATGGATTTTTGTTATTAGCCTTCTGTATTCTGGACAGGAATATATTCTAGATATACCACTACCTGGAGTAACACGCACACCCACACACACACACAGGTCTGGACAAGGAACAAATGGAACAATCTAGAGTATCACTTTAAGTTTGAATTGATTTTGTCAATCTGGACTTTGTGCAGTGATATGTTTTACATGAACAACTCCTGTCAACATTTAGCAGGAGTAATTTTTGTCCTGATCAAACTCAGGCTGTCAGTAACTAGGGACATTAACCACATTATTTCTGTGGTAAATGAAGTTTAGGGGTAAAATACAAATAAAGAAAGGACATTTCTTGGTTTGGTTGGTGGTGTCAAAAGGATAAAAAAGATTAACCTTACATGACTAGTTGATCTTCACAAGACCAGATCAAATCCTGATTAATTTAAACCTCAAACACAAAATTAAAGATCTCTGTTGTTTCCTCTAAAAATCAGTTGGAGGTTGGGGGCATAGGTCAGTGGTAGGGTGTCTGCTTAGAATGCACAGGGCCCTGGATTTGATCTCTCACACCAAAACAAACAAAAAACCCAATACCTATCTAAGCTGAATTCAGAGAGAAATAAAATGCACAGAGCCAATATATCTTTCATCTACAGATGTTTTAGTGATGTAAAAATAGTATCTTTTACAAATAGTTATGTTCAGGGGCAGACTTTCAACCTGAAGAAGAGCCCAAATTGTAGCATACAGAAAGCCTCAATATTGATCTATGGAAATTCTGACTTGGGGTTGGGCTGCTTTTTCCTGGTATTTGGCCTGATCTGAGAGCCTTCATAACTAAGCCAGTATTTGCTTGGATTCTTCCTGAGAATTTGCAAAGATGTTACATTCTACCTCTTGTCCACAAATTGATCCCAGTGGCTTTCAAAAGTGAAAACATACACACAATTTAAATTTGTCTTACATCTGAGACAATTTATGGACTCATGAGTATAGCTTAGCTTCCTGGATTCTTGGGAGCCCCCAGAACTCCTACTGCCCACCTAACACCTGTGAACACCTTCGTAGAATGAAGTCAGTGTCCACCTTGCCTTGGCCGGCTGGCCACCCACAGCAGACCAAGTTCAGTGATCCAGCTATGTGCCAGCTAAAAAGAGTTCATCTGAGAATTCCAGCTATGCATCTAAAAATACTCTCAGAAGAAAACCGTATGTTTCTAATTGCTTATATGTCAAGTAAAATTTTTTAAAAATATTTGCTCTAAATTGCTAATATAAAAATAGTTTCTGGCTCTATGCAAAACAGTTGAATAAAGATGTAGGTATGAAGTTGACCCCTCAGGCCACACCTCCGCAACAGCTGAGGCAAGAGCCCTGCTCTTTTCCAAAACCAGTTTGCCCCGCCCAGTGCCGCACGCAATACCCGGTGCCTGGGTCACTGCCCATCAGCTTCCTACAATTCTGCCTATGCTCGCTTTTGCCTATAAGAAAACCAGGAGCTGCCCAGGTTCGATGTGTGCTGACTATGCTACACGGAAAGACTGCTCCATAGAGTCGGGCTTGCCCTTCTAGTTCCTGGGCGGGTAGGACCAGCCCCAGCAGCAGCCTGCAGCAAGGCACCTCCAGCAGCTGTGGGGTCAGCAGCAGCCCCCGCATGAGGCGGGGAGAAGTGGGGCCCTCAGGGGCTGCCTGGCTCATCACTGGGGCCAAGCAGCAGTTTGGCACCCTGCTTGTCGATGCTGGAGTTGATGCTGGCCGTGTCCTTCTCCAGCTGAGGAACGCAAGTGCAGCCGACGGGCACCGTGATGTAGGCCTCAGTGTAGACAGAACGGCCGCCGGCGCAGGCCGAGGTGCGGCGCAGGACCACAGCGGGCATGTACACGGGGGTACTGCGGAAGCGGAAGTCCTCATCGCCAAAGGGCCCGGTCAGGCAGCCCCGGCACAGGCAGTAGGCTTCGGGAAGGTACCGTGGGAACCTCGCTGGGTCATACGAAATCCTGCAGGAAAGAGTGGGTTTAGTGCACGCACACGTCTTATGCCTAGAAAGGAAGCTTCTTCAAGGATTTTCTTCGGAAACCAAGAAAGTGGAGCTGGAGCAAAACATTTGGAGATCATCAGACTGGAATGGGGCACGAGGTAGGTTAGTGTCCACCTGAAGCCCTGACCTCAAAGACACCAAGGAACTTGTACTTCGTTTTATCCTAAATGCAGAAGACAGCACTTACAGATATCCTTGATGGAGTCCATATAACCACCCTGAGTCTGCACTAACGTAAGTAGAAAAACATACATGCTGGCAGGCTACCACCGTAGCCTCCAGAGCGAGCCCTCTGTGACTGCCCCATCCAGCCTGCCAGGGGCTCTGAAGCTCCAGGACGGGCACCAAGGACAGGGGAGGCAGCGGGCTCTGTGTGGTAGGGCAGGCCTGGCCACCTGACTGCTGATGCACGGCCACAAGCAAAGACAGCTGCAGGACACCTAGTGGAAGGCCACGAGGTAGCCACACCTGTCACCTAGTGTTGCGGTTCACATGTTGGCTTGCTTTTTTTGTTGCTGAGACAAAATACCCAACCCCCCAAATTAAAGGAGGAAAGGTTTATTTAGCACAGTAGAGGTTTCAGTTCATAGTCTGATGGCTCCAAGGCAGGGTGGCATGGCGTAGGGGCGTCCAAGAGGAGAAATAGTCCATGGCAAGGAGTCGGCCAAAAGTACATTAGAACTTTTTCTGTCCCTTGTATTTTACGCAGGCTACCCACCCCAGCACTCACACCTTTAACCTTAACCAGAACTATGCCAAACGTATCAGTGGACTGATTTAATCATCACACACCCTTGATTCCAGCACCACACACTCCCTCCTGTGACTGCATGAGGCTTTGGGGAAATATCCAGACACAGCCATAACGTTCCTCCCCTGCCCCTCAAACTCGTCCATCTCCCTTTAGGCAAAAGGCATTTGGTTCATCTCTAAGAGTTGCCAAAGTCCTAATATTTTCAGCATTGCTGCAAAGTCCAGATCCAAAGTCAGATTTAGGGAAAATTCTCAGCTGCAAGCCTCTGTACAAATGAAACAAAAGTGAAACCCTTCTCACGTTCAATGGCGCACGTCGATATTTCCATTTGAAACGGTACGAACAGGAGGATACAAAGGAATGGGAGCAAAGCAAGACCAAAATCCAGCAGGGCAAACATTAGATCCCACAGCTCCCCTTCCAGCATCCCTGGCAGTCTGTGGCAAGTCCTGAGCTCCAAAGGGCTTGGGCGGCTCTGCCCCTACAGCACCGCCAGTGGTGGTAGCTCCCAGGGCTTCTCTCTTGGGCCGGCTCTGCTCCCTCCTGGCAGTTTCCCTCAGACGATCCACGTTCCTGGCTTCTCCAAGCTTCTGGGGTCTCCACTGCACCTTTGGCTTTACACAGCATTACATACTACACACTGCCTGGCCTCCCGGGCCTTTCTTTGAAATCTGGGTGGAGGCCTTCACAACTCTTCCATTGTTTTTTTTTTTTTTTTTTTTTGTGGTACCGGGAATAACTCTTCCATTCTTTATGCCCTTAAAACCAGTAAAACATGGATGATGCCAGGGTCTGCTGCCAGTTGGAGCAACAGCCAGGCTTCCTTCTCTCTTGGCTGTAGGAGTCAAGTGCCTGGATTGCTGAGTGCTCTGAACCTAATCCAAAGAACAAATTCTTTAGGCTGCCACAATTCTGAACATAGTGCTCTGGGGCTTTCTTTTCAAATATAATAATAATATAGCCGAACTACAGAAAAGTAAGAAGCATGTGCCACTTATATATAGCCTTCTAGTACTGGGCAGGGATGTTTACTACTCCTTTGGTCTCAATAATCAATTATATGGTTGTTTTAAAAATCTGTCACATCCAAACTAAGTGACATTCTACAAAACAACTCACCACCTGGGGCAACACATGAGCTGGACTGGGTCCTGGGGCAGAGAAGGGGCATTAGTGGGGCACTTGAAATAAGGTCTGCAGATTAGATATTACTATTCGTTTACTAATTTTGATCAATTCGCTGACTTACATTTCAGACCATCTGTGTACAGGGTAGCCTACGGGAGTTCCTTGTCTCGATTCCACAACAGTTTTCACTGCCTCAGAGAGTCAAATGCCAAACAAAAAATGAAGAGGAAATATTTCCCAAGTTCTAAGCCTCCTCCCCCTACCCTGGGACAATCACAGAAATCTGAAATCGGCAACCACTGAAGCTATTAAGGCGTACTGGTTGTACTGATGCACAGCGGTTGGTTTCACAGAGCCCTCAGCATTGGGAGATGCACAGGCTTATGAAGACCACTGAACAACTGTGAAGCCACCAGGTGCCCTCTAGGTTTGGCTTGTGGCAAGCATTCCAGACCTGCCCCTCCAGGAGCACGTAGGTCAGTAGGCAGGACAGGCTGGTATCCACCACCACAGTCCACAGCTGTAGGGGCAGGGGCCTGATGAAACGGCTCAGAGACATGGGAGATGAAGTTAAAGGACAAGGGGCCTTCACTGAGCAAAGGAGAGGGCTGGGGGAGCTGCCAACAGCAGCAAGCAGACAGACTGGAGGCAGAACACAGATGGCCACATGGTGGGAAACTTTAAGAAGTCACTGCAGCTGGAGTGATGTGTTTAGGTGTGAGCACAGGGATGTGCATGCAAGTGTGAGCATGTGTGTGTTATGTTAGCATGTTTGAGGGAATATGTAAGTGTGGAAGTGAGCATATGCACATGTGTGAGTGTGAATATCAGCGTGAGTGTGCACATGTGTGGAGGTGTGATCATATGATTGTGGGCACAGATGTGAGCATGTGTGTGCTCATGTACATTTGGGGTGGAAATCTGGTGAGAAATTTGAGATGTGAAAGAGCCCTGGGTAGACTCATGGGAACCCTCAAAAGGAGGGTGAACTGCCCAGCGGATGATGAGAATTGGGGGGGAAGTCACCCCACAGCAGGACAGGTTTGGAGCACCAAGTGGGGGCTTCAGATCATGTGAGGCCTCCTGGACCCCTCTCTGGTGATGTCAGCTTGACCTGAGGGCATCAATCACCCCAGATTCACCTTTAGGTGCCTTCTCCTCATCCTCTGTCAGGTCTCATCATCCTAGGTGTCACTGAGGAACAAGGAGCACTCTGGCGTCACCCTTGTTACTTTATAGGTGAAACTGACAGTCCTTCAAGGGTATGACGGTGAGGGGCTCATCCAATTAAACTATCCACCTTAGTCCTCCACTTGGGCACCAGGAAGGACCTATCCACCCCCACTGCTACCCTTTTAGACTTAAGGCTGTGACAAGACACCTGCACACACACTTCACTCTCTCTGCCTGGGACCTGGGAGATGAAAGTGAGGATGAATATAGGCAGTTTTCATTGTAGTGTTGAGACCAGGAGGATACCCTGATAACAGGAAGGTGTTACAAAGTACAGGCAACACAGACCAAACCCACCACCCACGGCTGTGTCATCAGTGCCAGCAAGACCAGCGCCAGAAAGGCTAGCCTGACAAATTAATAAGGAGGCCAGTCGGGACCTGAACAAGAAGTCACAAGAAAAGCACCAGGAACCTTGGCAGAGCCAGGAATGGCTGCTGAGCTCAAGTTAATCCTCTAGTTTCCTGCCTGGAATCTGGGAAGTCACTAGCCAGGAGTGTCTTTTGGTTAGAGAATGGTGCAATGAGAAAGAATGGCAAAATACTACACCCAGGAACCTTTCCCTTCCCAGACACAGAAATGGGCCCCAGGAAGAATTGTGTGCTGCAGTCTTGCCTCTGTAGGAGCAATTGCTCTCTCATTTTCACATTTCCTGCACACTGCTTTGTACAAACTTGGGACAGGGATATGTTTGAAACACATCAAGTTTTCCCCTCTGATGTGATCTCAGAAGTGGCCCTGGGGCCACGTGTGAAGGCTGGCTCCAGTGAGTGACAGCTGGCCTGGCTTAGTCCAAGAACAAAGCACAAGATCTCCCGGGATGATCAGAGGTGATGGAAACTGAGCTCAGGGAGGAATGCAAGTGACAGCAGAGACAGAACACTGCTGCCCTTCGGCCTGCACATGGTAGGAAACAATCTGAAGCGGTTCCGGGAGAACAAGCTCAGAGAACAATGAGTGCATTCCCAGAGAAGGACTCGGCCACCTGATGTACTCTTCCGATGCCCGAGTATAGCTGGGGCATTTACTGGCACAAACTCCTTGATGTAGCTTGCCCTCCCACTTAAAAACATGAAATCATTTCTATTTCAATGCAACAGAGGCTGAATATAATTGCCTCCCTCAAAGCCACCAAGAGACCCTAACTCGGGACCTGGGGTAGGGGGTTGACTTCCTGTTTCTGACTGGAAACGCATCGTTACACAGGAGTGAAAGTGGGGATAAAATGGCCTCAGCATGTGGCTTGCCAGCTCTGGAGGCCAGGAACTTAGCCCAGTAGGAAAAAGCAGGAGGAGTCAATAAGAAGCTTGGACATAAAATTTTGGTGCAACTTAGTGACCAACCAGCAGTCTTGCGTAAATCACTCTGCCTGGTTCTGCAAAGTGAAGAAGGTGAATTTGTCATCTAGGCTACTTTCTTCAGCTCCCTGAGAACATGTTATTTGTATCAATGGTTTATGCTTAGGAAAGATACGTGGCTCTCAAAATACAATGGGTCTCAAAGGTGTTGGGAAACTCTCCCAAAATTAAGTCTATGAAGTCAACGCAATTCGGACCAAATTCTAGTAAGATTGCTCTGAGAACTTGGTGAGCTGACCCTAAAACTCACAGAGAGAGAGAAGAGCTGGGAATGGTCAAGATCCTTTTGAAAAAGAAGGAGTGGGCAGACTAACTCCACCAGATAGGAAGACATTATAAAACTTGGGATGATCAAGACATCTGGCAGTGCCCTGGGAACACTAAGGGACAATCAGCTTCCCTTGCTCACAGCTCAAATTCCTCTGAAAAATTCTTTCATTGCAGGAGATTAAGAAGGTGGTGCAAACAAGATTCCAAGTGTGGTTG